ATAAAATATAAAATATAAATGAATTTCACAAAAGCCCTCATCAAAATGCCATCATACATGATGTAACATAGCATCAACCTAGCTGACAAAGAGCATTAAATTGTCTCTCTGCACAACTGCTGACGCTCCTACCTGTTGCATGGCCATCCAAAACTTGCGTTGGAGCAACTCCAGCTTAATTTGCACACCCACCGCTGTGGGAAACAAAAAGGGGGGAGGATGAAAAGAGGAACGTGCGAGAGAGAGAAAGACAAATACAAGTTAGGAAAGGAGGGGTAAATATTTGCCCGAAGTGATGGGATAGAAATCGCAATTGCAACCTGCTTCCAAGTGTGAATGATAAGCATAGGGGGATCAGCGCTGAGTCAGACTGCCAAGTGAGAGTCAGAGGTTTAACAAGGTAGAGCAAAAGGGGACACTGACTGCTGTACTGAGGTACCGACACCTCCCGCCCACTAAACACTAGGGAGCTACAAACAAATTAACAACACGCCAAAAAAAATCCCACCAACCCCCCCCAGGAGAGCCAGCGTGTGAGCTTTCATCTTTGTCTCTTCTAGAATTGCCTGGCCAGAATGGACGTTTCTGATCAGCCCAGCCGCATCTCCTGCACCACACAGCATCAATCAGAAATAAAGTAGGACAGTGTGAGGAAGGGATTAATTTGAAAACCCACCTGTCTCAAGGGGAGACCATAGTGATTTAGATTGCTCCTAAGCCACTACAAAAGCACAAAAATATGAATGCTACTTGACAGAAAAGTGTCGATTAGAAGTAGTGCTTCATTACCCAGTCCCAGCCTAGTGCACGCTCCGCTAAGCAAAAGCGTGTTGTGCGTGTGTGTTTCTTAATGAAGTGTGTCCTAATTTCTTGGCTTAATTTCTCTTCTATTCCCAGCATCATGTTCCTGAAGTAAGGCATAGCTCCACAGGAGAAGAAACGGTGCAGGGTCTCCCCGACAGAATAACCTAGCTGTCCCCAGGTAGGTTGCCTACAAGCACACGTAATAACCAGCGCAGTCGTGCGCAGCCTGGCATGGTGACGGGGAGCAACGGGGCTGTGTGTCAACTAGTTGAATCCAAGAGCTCTGCAGGAATTACAGCCTCAAGCAGGGTCTTGAAATAGAATATAAAGTGCAAGTGAGGGAGAAAAAGAAGTACAGAGAGGGAGAGTTTGAGCCTTTTTTCACAACGACAAATATCGGGCAGATGAAGTGTTGCTGTTTCTACAGATTTTCTCTGAATTAGCAGGAGCTTCAAAGGGGGGAACAGATCCTTTAAATCTGAATCATGCCGTGTGGGTGCTTTTAAGTTAACAGTATGATATGATGCTCTAATTCAAATGGGTATGAATTAAAATTGGAGTATGCAATGGTATATTTTCTTGCAGCATGTACAGAGACCCTGGCACGTGCCATCAGCTCTGCCTTTTATACCAGTGTCCTTGTCACGTTCCCACTGCTGGTACACGTTACAAAATCCCATTCACAGGCACATTTCTTATCCCTGCTGTAGACTGAATCTGACTGCCTGTACGTGGAGGAAAGGAATGATTTTGTAGAGCTGCCTTGCAGCTTCTAAGCCTCGCAGAGCACAAACCAGACAAGACAAAGAATGCAAACAAAGGGGGAAGGATGGGGCTGAGTCCAGCCCGGGTGAAGATTCATCAGCTTCAGCAGGGCTATTGCAGGCATGGTTTGGCTTGGTGCCCCTGCTGACAAATCGGCAGTCCATGACAGAAGGCAAACAGTGCTGTTGCTGCTGAGTCCGATGAGGCCCACGCATCCGATTTGGTATGTAGCTTTAAATAAACTCATCGTTATCCTTTAACACCATCTCAAGAAAGAGTTATTCCCCTTATCACAGCAGATCACATCAATGGGACTGAGCATTACCGAGGACATATAGTTTTTAATGAGACTTAAAGAGGAGTTGATACCTACATAACTAACCTTGCAATACACAGACTTAGTGGCTCATGTTTTTGCCAGAGGGAACATTTAGCCTCAAATTGTTCTTCAAAGGGAGACTAGCCCCTGGTCGTGAAACCTTGCCTCTGCCCAGGAGGCATGAGTAGCATGTACTGAACTTGGACAGACTTGCCTGCAACGTGAGGAAGGAGAGTACCTGGGGGCTTGCACTGGTGGCCAGTGGCAGGGACAAGAAGAGTCTCCCAGCTCTCTTCTTCCTCTTTCCACATCACTCACAGCCATGTCTAACCCATCTGTGCCATCTGTCAGCAAACCTTGTCCTTTGTATGCAATCTTTGCAGCCCAAACCTCTCTGTACGGCTTGCGCCTACTCATCATCTCTGCACTAGCCCTTTCTTTCCTTCCCAGCGGTCCAGCACACATTTCTAGATCTTTCCCATGGAGCTGTGGTGAGCACCACTCTCCTCCTCACATCATGGCACAGTCTAAAGAGGTCATTGAAAGCAAAGCTGGGGTCTATTCTGCCTTGCAGCCAGATTTGTCTGTCTGGATGGTACCCATCACGGGGAACCATACTAGAGGGATTGCTCCATGCTCCTGCCGGGGAGCACCACTCCTCACCACTTGGGGTTGATTAGCAGAGCAAGAACTGTGAGAAACTTCCATGCATTCAGGTGACCCGAGGAAGACATGGGAGCTGAGGAGAAACAGGCTACAATCACCCTCCCAGTGCTAGTAACAAATAGTCGCGCGGGTGCCTCCAGGCTGTTGGTGAGGCTGGGTAGAAAGAAGGAAAGCAGCGATTCAGTCTGAGGTAAGGATGATGCTACAGCTCAGGTGAGAAGGAGAAAACTGGAATAAACCCCCATCTGCTGTTCCAAAGTATAACTGATCATTAATGAGCCTTTTTGCTCTGGTGGCAAAGAGTATGCTGCAGGAGCGGGAAGATCTGAGGTCTGTGAAATGATGAGTGGCCCTGGTGTGCAGCACAGCGACGACCGTAGAGTCCTCAGAGAGACCGTGGCTAATAGTTTTATTCCTACTAATGTGCAAACAACCTGTGCAACTGTAGCAACCAGCAATGAAATAAAACGTGAGGGCAAGCAATGCTGCACACCTAGATGTTGCTTCACCCTGCCGACAAGCTACCCAGACCTGCGCACGACTTCGCACCAGCAGGCACCCTGCCTGCAAACCCAAGCAGTGCCTGCTGCATGGCTGCAGCTGGCTTTCTCTGGGGTCGTGTGCTGCCATTCACCGTGGAGATAAGAGCCTCCCCCTCCACCTGTTCATCCCTCTGGTGAGCATGTCTGCCTCATGAGCTCATCCTCTGCTTGTCTCTCTTGCTGTCTGCCTTCCCTGGCTTCTCCCGTTCATTATCCATATGCTGTTCTCATAGCGAGCTTTCCCCAAGATCTAATTCTTGGGCCTGCCACATGACAAAAAGGCATAACAAAGAGTCGCAAGACTGCATTCTGTAGACTGCTTATCAAGACGTACCTTGCCATTCACAATGTGTTTTCATGGCAGCCGGTCCAATGGTTGAATAAAACCCATGATTCAAATGGAAGGAGGTGCCAGAGCAGCAGAGCAGCCCTGCCCGTACTGTCCATTTGCATTCCACCATTCCCTATTTCTGAAATATTCCCATTTTCCCTCTTGAGCCAGCAGCAGAGCTGCCCCACTCAAAATTTTACTTGAAGTGCCCTAAAAATTTTACTTAAAAAATAATGTCCAGGCAAATTAAAACGAACAAAAAACCCAGACGAAGGGCAGCCTGCTTACGATAATGGACCTGACAGAAGAGGCAGTTCAAGTGGATCAGCAAAAGAGTAATTCTTGCAAATGTGAGCTACCGAGGTTCTCAGCAAACTGGAAGAAGGCAAGCGAGGGGTCTGATTTTGGGGGGCAGCCTGCAGGAGCCCGCGGGAGAGCACAGAGGGAAGTCTGACAGAGGCAGTGGGCCGAGTTCGGGTGCTTACTGCAGACCTGTACCACCAGGCTGCGTTGGGGAGGGCAGGGGATGCCTCTGTCACTGCGTGGATATAACCGCACCTGACACTTGCGCTGAACATATGGCTGAGCACACTCTCCCCGCCGCACACAAAATTCAGGGGATTGAATTGTGGGTGCAAACGCTCCTCTCTTTCAACCATTCCCCTTGTCCCAGCTACCCCCTACCAGCACTCCTCGAGTTTTCCCTGAATCCCCAAGGAAACAGACACCAGGTTGTGAAGCATCCAAGCAGGGAAGCATTACAGCAGCCCCTGTGCTCAGCTGCTGGGGATGCCCGCTGTGGCGGGGCAGGATGCGGCCAGCCCACCATGGGCACCTCTCGCTTAAATCTCTTTGTCAGACACACTGCCTGCCCCCACCGTCTCTGGAGCACTGGTGGGAAGGGGGTGCCTTGCCCCCAAGCCCCCCAGTTTCTCCCCCGCTGCCTCCCCTTTGCTGCAGCCGCTTGCCTCACCCCTATACAAAACCCAGGGCTCATCCTTTCTCCTCCTCACGCCTTTCTCTCCGGGTTTATTGTCATCAGCCATACCAGGCAGGGGAGGGATGGAGGGAGGGGAGGAGGCATTCAGCTCGGTGCCTCCTCTCATAACCTGTGCCTGACCAATCTGCCTCCCGAGGGGCTGTGGGGAGCTCCCCCTGCCCCGGCATCTCCTCACCCCTCCTCGAACCCCTCGGCTCCCGGCACCCGGAGAGGGATGGCGGCAAGGAGGGGAGGAGAGAGAGAGAGGGACTGACAGCAACAGCCCTTTCTCCAGGATGGGTTGAGAGAAATGAAAACCTCCCAAGCTCCTTCCTCTGGGTGTTTCAGAGCAGATCCTGCCTGCCTGGCGGGGTGACTCCTCTGCACTGTGTGCGCTCCTGTGCGTGTGCTGCTGCCATCGCAGATGTACCCCCAGCTGTCACTTCGCTGCGTGCAGTCGCTCCCTCTCCCGCCTCTCTCTCTCTCTTTCTCTCTCCCCCTATTTATTATTTACGGAGGATTACAGTCCCTTTCCCACGCTGCCATCTCGCCGTGCGGCTCCTCTGCCCTCCGTGCAGGGCGAGCGGCTGGCTAGGAGGGGCTCCTGCCAACTAGGTTTCACTGAGAGCCCAGCCAGCAACGGAGGGACTTTCTGCTGGATTTGCTTTGGGATTGTACTGGGTTTGCTGGAAGAGCTGCCGTTCTTACAGGAAGGTCCATCCCAGCTCGAGAGAGGTAAGTAAAGACGTCTCTCTTTTGTATCCCCTCCCTCCCCCTGCCATGAGAGATCAGTGGGGCTGGCCCCCCCAGGAACCAGCTTCCCTGGGGAGGAGAGTGGTGGTCAGGGGCAGCACCGTCTGCCAGACGACACGGTGCAGAAGTCCCAGTTGTGCGAGGCTGACGGGCAGTGATCTTCCCAATAAGGCAGAACGACAACCCTGCCGCAGAGGCTGCTGGTACTGGTTCCAGTCCAGTTTCAGTGCGGGCAGCTGGGAGCAACTTCTCCCAGCTGTGAATGGCATCAGCATCTTTCGCTGCAGCATGGGCAGCTCAGGTGCAGCTTTGAGGCTAAACATTTCGTGCTGTGGTCACCGAGTGCTGGGCAGCTCCTGGTGAGCCCTGGCTTTTGTCCCCTCCTCAGGACTGTGGAGAGGGGCCAGCTTGCAAGGTGCCACGCACCTGACGCGTAGTGGCTTTGCTGGGTATCGTTTTGGTCTCAGCTGTCTTAGTAAGAACAATCTAAAATGGAGAAGTGAGGACCCAAACTGGACAGGTCCAGCATTCAGTAAACAGGTTTTAGGATGAAGGGTGTGTATATGTGTAAGTGCGTGTGTGTGTACAATTGCATGCACAAAGCTCACAGACGTGACCACAGGACATGAAGTGAAGAATGCCATATCACAAGTAGAGGCAAAAATAAGTCCCAAGTTGCTTCCAGCATCCCTGCAGGCTGAACCTGCGATTTCTGAACTTTTGGGTGGAAGGCACAGCACCAAGGGTGGGGGTGAAACACAGCACAGAAAAACTTCATAGCCTTTTCCAGCCCTGCCTGGGAAGAAAAGGGGAGAACAAGGTTCCAAATGAGCTGATGTGAAGCTGCCTATGGATAGGGGTATATATGTGAGCATTAGCGTGTGTGTGCGCATATATACACATGCACAGACACGTGCACACATACATCCCACTCGGGACATTCTGCCCCCCTTCTCCCGCTGCCTGCCCAGTTTATTACTGCCACTGCCTCTTATGATAATTAAGAGAGACGTGTAAAATTGCAGCTCTCCCGGTTTGGGGAGAGAGGATGTTTGGAGCTGTTGCTCCAAACAAGTCATGACCGAGCTGGGTCCCCAGCCCACCATGTGGACCATCAGGTAGCTTGAATGTGCCACGTCCAGTGCATCCCAGATGGCAACGGTAGTGAGCAGGGTACAGCACTGCTGTGCTGCTGGTGCCTGATCTGCCACCCAGGGATGGAGGGAGAAATGAAGATCTCATTTGGGGAAGGACTGGAGCAGCTGCTACTGCAGGCTTTAAAGAAGGAAACCCTTAAAAGACAGGGGACCCTTAAAGGCACACAGGGACTTGTCACAAAGCAGGGGACATTTCCAGCAGTGAGGAGGAGGGGGTGCCTTTCCAGAATTGCAGACCATTTTTCTTCTGAGCTTTGTCACTCAAGTCTGTTGCGGGGAGGGGGGTGGATCTTCCTCTAACTGCTGTGGGCAAACAACATTTGCAAGGGAATTATTCCACATGAGCGAAAGGCTTGCGGGAGTTGTCTCCCTGTCAGACATCAGTGCAGTCTCTGTTAGTGTACCTTGCCTGCTTGGAGGAATTACGGTAAACCCTGAGCAAAGGGGCTGTTTGCAGAGAGAAAGGGGGGAAGCCCTCTTATGTAATTTTTATACCAGATCATCGCTTTACCCTTGCCTCTAGCAAAGTGAATGCCACACACTAGCAAGGTGCACTCCCAGCTCAGATATCTTCATGAGCTACTCCAGCTTCTTGCCCTTCCTCTGGCTTTTCTAAGCCTGATACATAAAGGATTTTTTAGGCTCTTCAGCACCACAGAAGCCTGATGAAGGCAGACCTGCATCTCGGTGCGGCAGGGAGGGCGAGCAGCAGCACAGGGCCGTCTGTGAGGATACCGGGACAGGAGCATCCAGGGAGTGGCAGAGGCTGGAGCTGCGCGTGGAACAGGACAGGGACAGGCTCAAGCATGTGGGAGAGCATTTCTGGGCAGTTCTTCGGTGACTCTTCAGCACTTGCCAGTTGCTGATTCAAGAGACTGAGCAGTTTCCTTCACTTGCCATGTTTGGTTACAAGCAGCTGCTTACACCGCTTGACATCTGTCCCAGCCCTGGGTGGCTCAAGCCGTAATTCAAATGACCATACTGGGACGCTCCTGCCAGCTGGGTAACGCTCCAGGGTGCTACACCATGACACACGCTCCAGTTCTCAGTGGGAAGGAGCTGGAGTTGGAGTCCTGGGCTGTTTCTGTCCCTACTGCATGGAAATCCCTTGTAACACATACCTTATTCCTGTCGTGGCTTTACCAAAATGCTGGCTCACAAAAATGCTTTGTGTGGCTGAGGGCATCCTAATAGCAAGAATAATTTTTTTTTTTCTATAAACCAGTTCAATTCCAGGCTGGCGAGATGGAAGGAAAAGTTGCTTCACCTGCAAGGGGTAGGATTACGTGAAATACGGTTTTATTCATGCTGCAAAAACAAGCAGTTGAAAGTTAGGAAATGTCGGGATTCAGGGCGGCGTGCCATCTGCACCAGGTTGCAGTCCTGACTGGTAGGATCACACCCTGTATTTTCATAAGCTGCCTCATTCAGGGCACCAGTTACACAGTGCTCAGGGAGTGAAGCAGGGGGCTGTTATTTTTTTTTTGGTACTGCAAAGTGTGTGCCTGTTTTATTTGTTTACTGCCTGCCATCCAAGCCCTGCAGGCAATACATCATTATTCATTGTCTTGTGGTGTTCTGAAGATGTTCACTGCTACAGTTGCATCGTAGCTGATGATAGAGAATTTATGCTCCTGATCAGGCAAGAGAGAGTGGTTATCTTCCTTGCTTTTGAAGGGAAAAGAGACTTCCTCTTTAGCCACATGGCAAAGGAGCAGCAGGTGCAGGACCGGAGCTTGGGGCCTCTTGGCTCTTGGTGCCATTGAGTCCTCGAGACCGTACCAGTTCACTGGCTAAGCTGCCAGCATTTAGGAAAACAGCTGTGAGTGCTCAGCAGTTCTGCAAAATGGCCCCTAGGGTCTCGTGTTGGGCACCCGCAAAATTAGGAATGCACAGACTGTGGCCACCTGCCAAAACTGCAGTTTAATATTTAATGCTGACCATATAAAAAATAGCCTTATTTATTACAACATCCTCATTATTAGCTTGAGTATCATGTGTCCTTTGCACTGAGTATGGGACAGGGTCCTGTGAAAAAAAGAAATAGTACTTGCTTGGATAAGCAAAGGCTGTGTTGTAATGCATACATGCAAATGGCTGAATTAAGGTTGTGCAGGTATTAACTCACATTTAAGTGCTTGGCTTTGCAAGCCAAATGGCGTATTTTATCATATAGCAATTTTTTAAAAAAATTAAAATGACATTTTCTTCATTCTTTTTTTTATGAATGGGAAAACAAAATACTTTCCATTATTTATACACTGCAACGCCTCACATCCATCACAGAAAGGACTGAGACCTAAATTTACATCACGGCCATGCAAGTCGGAACTTCACGACTGACTGCAAGCAAAGGCTGTTACTTTGAAGACAGGCCCTGCTACCATGCTCCTCCCCGCTCCAAGGAGGCTGGGAAGCTGGGAAAGCTTCCTTCCCCATGGACCATGCCCTCACATGAGGAACAAAAAAGTAGGAACACATCCTGAGTCTGGAGAGGAGCTGTTAGAGGCAACTTAGCACTCATCACTTAGGACTCTCTTTCCACTCCTGGTGAGGCTCTCTGCTGCTGGTGCTCCCCAAAGCAGGGCATGCTGCTGCTGCGATTTTGCTGCGAGGTACCTGTGTGGAGGCAGGGGGGCTGAAAGCGGGCTCTGTTCTCCATACCACTTGCATTTAGTGATTTTGATGGGATGTGAACATTGCCATGCCCGTATCTCTTCTGTGGTTGCAAACCCTCCAGAAAACTAAAGTCACATCAAATTTGAAGACCTTCCCCAGCCTCAGCAAGCTCTGCAGCATTGGGCTGTGATGTGTGCGCTAGCCCAGATGCACCCAAGGATGCTGGCTGGAGCTCTGCGTTGTGAGAGCTGTCACCACATTTTGTTGAGCTATGGGCAATGTTCCCAGCTTGTAAAGAGTGTAAGTGTGTCCCAGAGATTCTCAGGCACCCCTGGAGTTGCAGGCAGCAGCTTGGGCCCCATGCAGTTTGTGTGGACTTTGTGGAGGTGCCCCTCTTGGATGCTCTGGGAAGGTGATGGGGGTGATGGGGAAGGGGAAGAAGAGCTCCAGGCTCTCTCTAACAGGCAGCACCGCCAACCTCATGCCACAGTGGCAACCAAGTGAAACAGATCTACACAACCCACTAAGGCAGAAAAAGGTCTCCCTCAGAGTTCAGTATAAATGCGTCGTGTGCAAACAATGAGATTCAGCCTTTCCAGCCATGCACACAGGCGCTGTGTGCACGCTGGGTCACTGAACCCCTTACGATAAGAGCAGAGAGGACTTTTACCACTGGCATCTTGTGCTCTGCCCCACCGCTGCATGTGCATGGGTGATCCCTGCCCCTGTGAACATGCCCAGGGCACAGGCTTGAGAAGTGAGACAGTAGTGAAGTTCTTCCCTCGTCCCACTGTGTTTTCTACCTCCTCTCCCTCTTCCTGCTCCAACTGCCGAAGTGGCAAGCCACGACCCTTGCAGCCGGTGGTCTGATTCCGAGATGCCGGCAGCCAGGGAAGGGAAGCCAGGGTGCTGGGTGAGGAAGAGGGGAAGGGACTCTCTCACCCAGCAGCTTAGGTGGCAGCAGTTCTCCATCACGTTGGCTTCTCCACCAGAAGCAAAAGTAACAAGAGTCAAGCAGTAGGAAGGCTAGTGATCTTGAGGTCCTGGTGTATTTCAGAATACAGACTATAAAAAAAGGCAAAACCCTGGGCTAACGCAGACCTGAATGGTGGCAAATAAGCAGGTGTGGGACACTGTGTGTGCAGAAGCTCACCTGATTCTAGGAATGAGGAAGCAAAAGGAGAAAGGCTTATGGCCGAAGTGCCT